GTTCTATATATATAACGGTAAGCCAACTTTTTGAGATCGTCTTTGCCTGTCTCCCTAGGATGTGATTAAACGAATTGTCTATTTTTCATGATACGCCACCAGAAGTATGAACCGAAATATACTGACGATGGAATTGCAATGCCAACAAGCTTGCCTCATCCTCTGGTAGTAGAGTAGGTGGTCACTCGACGGTTCGAAACGTCACGGGATGAACCATGTCGGCCAGCGGCAGACATTGTAGGCGGCATTTCTCTCGAGGTTGAGGATTAAAACAGATGTAGTTTCATTATCTCTTCTAAGATTTTGGCGACTCCAGACATGATGAATCTGTCTATATTCGCAAACTGAATAAATGAGTCCACGTCAGCCTGAGTAAAGTGATCTTTTTTCGTTCGGTATTACCAACCAATGTATTACGAATTTGCGTGTATAACCAGAAAGTGGTACGGACTCGGATAGGGAAACTCTTGATCGCAGTCTGTGTGTACTGGCAATGAGAAATCAATGACAGTGTCAGATGTGAGTGGAGTACCTTAGGGCCATGTGCTCGTGCTATCATTGTTTTATATTTACCAATGACTGCATAAATTGACTTGACTGTAAGGGAGTCATGCCTCAGGATGACATCAAAGTACGGCGAGCGGTCAAATGTAAAACTGACGAATGGACTCGGCAAGAAGGCTTAGTCGCCTGCGTGAATGATCCGATAAACTTCTTTTAATTTCCTCGGAAATTAACTGCGAACTTACAGTAGGTCAGTATATTCTAGGTCTATAGGCTCAGACCGAAATGTCATGCATGAATATTTGGGCCAAAGTCTATCAGCCACAGCGGGTAACCGCGTAATATTCATTAACTGCCGACAGGCAGCTAGTAGTATAGTTTAAGGTATGGGAATACCAAATTAACAGCACAGATACTAGCTAAAAGCCCATACACGTGTAGTTTGTCGATATTCTGTCGTTCTATGGCGCAGCTGCGAGGGGTTCGGCTCGTCATTGGGTCTCCCGGCATTCCCTGTCCGCTTTCTGGAGGATACTCCAATTTAGAAATTGCTGTTTTTTAATTTCCTTTTTAATTTTTAATTCCCGAGAAACGTTCGTTGAAGTTCGATTTTGAAAAGTGTGTCACTGTAGCAAATGAAGATGCTCATCAACACTTCTTTGACGGGGGGTACCTGTAAAATTTAACTGAGCAAGACGACCTCACAGTCACCACTTTGTCAGCCAAGAGGCCCTCCTTTCTATGCGGCAAATCGGCTTAGGGGGCTGCCCATATTCTCTTCGCCATTAAAGGAACTTTCATGGATATAGATAATGAGCCATTTGGAAAAGTATGCGGATTTTTTTGTTTGTTCAGAACTGAAATATAGAAGCCGGGGGTTACTGCCCTGGCTGAACAAAGGTTATAAGTTACTATATGGAGTTCACAGCACAACAACTAATGCCGCAAATGGTCTGAAGACTTTGTCATAAACGTGTAAGCTTGATGTGTTTAACCTAATTCCCCATGAGTGCAGACCGATCAAGGTCTCATGCAGACCTACCGACTGGGAGGGATCGTAACTGTACTACGCAATTCACTGACTTCCTTACATTAGCCACGATAACTTACCTGCGGGGAACCTTCCCCCCTCAAACTTCAAGGAACCTTATCCCACCTGGATGTCAATAGGTACTCGGTTTTGCAGCGAGTTCGCGGTACCTGTAACATACTCTCGGAGGAAGTACTAGTGTCAGACTCATCACAGACATTTGAACATAAAGTTTACGTAGGCTTGTTGGACAAATTCTGTCCAAATGGGCAGAACCACTTTGTTACGCCAAACCAACTATTTGTTCATACCTATCACTAGCGCGGATAACCATTATTTGATATTCCACATTATCCTCGACACCCGAGGCTGTTCCGGTTTCAGTTATACACTGTCAGGGTAATGCTGGGTGAAATACATATGCCACTGAAAACATGATTGAGACATGTTTTTTACCTGAATTGTGGCATAAAAACTCTTCAATAGTGTCCTCCAAGGAATCGCCCATCGCCCCTAAACATACTGAACTACATTGCGTTAACCGAATTTAAAGGAATGCATTTAATCGAAGCCCTATATGCTATATTAAGCCTCTAGCCATTTCGCCTCTAACCTTCATGGGTACAACAGGTCAGTTTATTTTAGGTGGATGTGCATGAGTTCAAAAAGCACAGGGGTCACGGACTGCTACGTTAATAGTTTCGTTTTTAAGCTAATCCAGGGGCCACTACTCCGAGACGGCACTTACAGCAAAATGAATTAAAGGTCTCCCGATAAAGCATTTCCTGACACGGAAATAAACAATGCTACTGGTTTTTGCGGGTAAACTGGTTCGGTTAAATGTCCATTATAATAGTTGAAAGTGCATAATCCCATCTTAATGTACTGACTGCCGCCTAAATCCAGCGTCATGATTACATTCTTGTGCATTCAGAATGCACTTCCACGTGTTGAGTCAACTTCTTACGCAATTCAAATCTTGTCATGCAGACTCATACTCACTAACGTGTCCTACAGTCGTGGTTCTGTGATGATCGACATTAAATTACTCAGAATGTCGGTTAACAACCATAAGTACGTATTCGATAAACCAGCGCAGTCTAAATGGCAGGCGTTTGCACAAAAAGATAAATGAAGTCTCATTGAAACAACTACAAAAGGCGAGGCAAGATTTATAAATAGCCCAGTCTTTGCTCATCTGGTCGATAGCGATCATTAGGAAAACGCTAGGGTGGTATTCCTTGTAGTTTGCCGAATACCAACTAGTTATCATAAACCACTTTAACAGCGCCAATTGGCAGCAATGGGAACCTATCCTATATGCGCGGAAAACCTTCATATAAGCTCTGCAGGTACCACGATGGAAAGCCAGAGCTATCTGACACCGGAAATCGAAAACATTCAAATACTCGCTAATTGATTTCCCGAAATTTAGCGCAACCAGTTGGCAAGACAGGTTATTTTTTAAAATCAATTCCCTGGATTGTATCAAGGACACTACTGTGAGTCGAGAATCACAGTATTGTACCTCCATAAAAGTGTGTCCTAGCGTTTTATAGGTTGGGTAACCTCCTGGATCTAATTGTACAGTTTGGCAAGACCGTAACCGCAAATACTCCTTACCAAAAGACTGCTTTACCGCGTTGAAATGCGTAGGACCTGGGAGAACTATTTCAATGTACTTTTCTGCCTCTTTATACCTATTGAGAGGTGTTTTAGCCTATTCACATGTTGGGAGGCAGTATGTACTTCTCTTAGATCACTAGTTCTGGAATAAACACCGATAACGCAAATAACATAAAGACTGGGCTGAAATCTGGAGCAAGATATTTTTACAAGATAAATCCCAATACACTAGCAGGAGCAAATTTCTCGTCTATGTTTACGTATACGCAAGTCTCTGTCCCGACTGTTCATCACAGTAGCTGTCGACCAGCGACTTAAACCAGCTGGGGTACTTAGTGCTGTGTGTACCCGCACCCGGTAATTCGGCTGCAAACGCAATTCCTCTCCTCCATTCCACTTCAAAGTCCTACGCTGACGGCGACGTGCAGTCTCATAAGAGGCCCAAATTAACTCTGGTCGTACCCCATTAAACAAAACTGCGACTCAGTTGGGAGCTTGGCAGCTGTCTGGGATGCCAAAGCAGCCCTATAGAGAATGGCACTGCCTGCATCTTTGAGATGGAAGGAGCGAAAAAGCGTCCCAAACCAATGATGACAAATCAGGTCATTGATACCTTATCCCATAGGCGCAAGGCTCATGGTCGAAATAACATGCAATCGAAAGGGCGTTCTTAACCTTTGACCAAGACCTTTTTGGGAAAGTTTACGGCACCTTTATTCGGCCTCACTTAGAATATGGCATATAAGCATGGCGGCCATGGCTAGTAAAGGACCAAGCATGCCTCAAACGGGTACAACGTCGTGCAACAAAGCTGGTAAACGGTCTAAAAAGCCAATCATACACAGACAGACTGAATTGCCTTAAATTATTCCCTCTGTGTTAAAAGCAGCAAAGAGGTGACTTTATCCTCGTCTACAAGATAATACATGGCCTTGAGCATGGACTTGGCTTTGAGGACTTATTTCAGTGGCACCTTTCACTCAATATTCGTGGTCACTCGATGAAGTTACGGACAACAATGTCCAGGCTAAATCTTCGTTCTGAATTTTTCAGGCAGAGGGTAGTGGAGAAATGAAACGATCTCCCTCAGTTAGTCGCGGAGGCTACGTCTCTGCAACCCCCCCCCCCAGAAACGCTTGGATGATTATTTGTGTCCCCTGTTTTCCCTCGACAGTCTGAATCTGAACTAATACCTCACGACCCCGCAAAATTTTATCTGAGACAATGCTGCTCAAATGAATCAAGTACTGTTTACATAGCGAATATTTTTATTGTTCGTGTACAGTTATTTCTAACGAGCTGACATGCAATCAATAGGGTTTTCAAAGACTTTGCCTATTATCCTTACCAAATAAACTGAAACTGAAACTGAAATAAAATGGCGGCAACCTTCGGCCCCGTCTCTTCCGTCTCGCCTCATAGGCTGCTGGAGTAACTACTCACTCTTGAGGCCTGGAATGCTCGTCCTCTTTTAGACAATCCGAGGAGCAACCGATCGAAACAGAGGACGGCGCTAGTGGCTCGAGAACAGGCGCGCTACAAGATGGACATCGCTACGCACAGTGAAACATCGATCTTCGAAAAGAGTCATCTGTATAACGTAGGTGTTAGCTGTACCTTCTTCTGGAGCGGCCGCCCAAAGGTAACGTGATGCGACGCAGGCGCCGCCTTTGTCCTTTGGAACGACACTGTGGGACAACTGCCTATTGCTCTATGTCTGCCTCGTCGGTGAGCCGGATTCGCCACTATCCTCAGTGCTTACGTCCCCTCAATAACCAATTCGGATGAGGCAAAGACCAAGATCTACAAAGATCTGCACACACTCCTGGCGACTTTGCCGATGGCGGACAAGGTAACTGTCCTTTGTGGCTTCAGTGCTCGCGTCGGGACAAACAACGCTGGCTGGGAGTGTGTGCTATGTACCCGCGGACTCGGTGGCTACAAAGAAAAAGATGTCTTCCTCCTGGAAACCTGCACAGAACACCACCTTCTCCTGACCAACGGCCTTTTCCATCTTCAGATGTGCAAGGAGGCGACCTCGATACACCAGCGGTTGCGGCGCTGGCAGCTTCTGGACTACGTTGTCGTCCGGAGGCGTGATGGACATGAAGTGTTGGTGACAAAGGTGATCTGCGACGCTGACAGCTGGTCGCATCATCGTCTCGTTAACTCCGGGGTGAGCCACCGACTGCAACCTCATGGGAGGTTAAAGGGTAAGTGACCGCCGTCTAAGTAAGATATTGTAGGTACATGGACGAATCATAAGGACGAGAAATTCCAAGGGTATGCGGAGTGCGAGGCAATAAGGGATTTCTTTGCACAAATCATGGCGGTCTGTGTCCCAAAACCAAAGCGCCTGCATCATTGCTCAGCTCTGATGGATCAGCGCTTCTTGTGAAAAAATCATAAATTCTAAGACGCTGGGCCAATGAATTCGGAAGGGTGCTCAATAAACCGTCCGCAAACTTCGACAGTGTCAACAACTGACATCCCCAGGTAGGAACGAACAGTGATCTGGGCCTCCCGATTTTCTTTCCAGAAATAGTGAAGGCAGTATATCAAATGTCCAACGGAAATACGCCGGGATCCAACAAAATCCCAGCTGAATTATACATAAAGAACGGCCATCGGCTGATGGACAAACTGACGTCACTCCTCCAGGAAAGTTGGCTACGCGGGTAATTTCCTAAAAACTTCAAACACGCGAATATCGTATATGCATATAAGCGCAAAGGAACCCGAAAACTCTGGGATAATCACGGAGCCATCTCGCTACTCCGAATCTCAGGGAGTCTCTCCTCCCCCTCCCCCAACCGTCTGAACATGCAGGTGGAGCAGAAACTTCTCCCTGAAAACCAGTGTGGATTCCACGGGAGCCAAAGAGCCGTCGACGTGATCTCCGCGGCCAGCTAACTAAAGGAGACATGCTTAAACACGAGGACCAACCTTAACATCACCCCCCGACGACCCAACAACGGTCTTCGACACAGTCGACCGCGATGGACTCTTGAAAATTATGCTGAAATCCGGGTGTTCGGAACACTTTGCACAAATAGTGCGTCAACTTCAAGATGAGGTGATGGCTAATGTCATGGACAACGGTGTGATATCTGAGTCGTTCACGTTGACAAATGGATAGAGACAGATCAGCGTACTCGCCCCCGCCTATTCTGTCTCATGTCCTCCGTCATTTAGACGGAGGTCTACCGTGAGGACCGGCCGGGGACAGGCATAAACTGCCGAACCGACGGAAAATTGTTCAAAATTCCTGGTCTCAAAGTGTCCTCGAGAGTACCTGAATGCAGCGTCCATGACCATTTGTTTAAGGAAGACTGCGAGATAAATACCATAACGGAAAAGGACATACAATGGAGTGTGGAACTTTTCGCTTCCGGTTGCCCTAAATTCTAGCTGGCCATCAACGCCGAGAAGAGAGCTGTCGTGTATCAATCAACGTCCAACGTGAAATGCAATGGACTGCATGTCAGCATCTAAGAGACCTAAATTTCATTAGCTAACAAATTTCCAAGTGAGGTGGTGAAGGTAAATTCCACATTCGGGCTTAAGAGATGGCTTGATCACAAAGTTTTTTTTTACAAAGATTCTCTTCTACAACATGACTGACTGAGGTCATTCTTGTAAAACACATTGTTGTTGCACTCCTCCCATACTGAGTCGCATTGAACCGCAGCAGTCATTTTTTCACTTGTGCAGCACGACACCTCGAACATATTCTAAATGATTTTGATTTCATACTGGAAGTAAATATAGAAAACTGATCCAATTAACAAGCTCATCAGGAAGTCTGCCTGCAATACTTAAAATATATACATGTACTTCTTGAGAGAATCAGTTTAATGTTTCTGAAGACCCGCATGAATTTGGAGGCTGATGTTGTAATGGATCTGTCTTTTCGACACACATAATTATGATTATAAATGCCCTCAGAACTTCTAACTCAATGTTCACGTGAACTACTCTATTTCTGAGCTCTGAACTAGACGGGTCAGCAAATATTTCGTTAGATGTGATGACGTTTGAGTCAGGCGTATCATGAAAAAATACGTATTTATGGAACTCGCGGAGTTTTTGCTCAACTTTAAAGAAATAAATAAAATAATTTTATTACAGACCTATCGGGGTCCCTTCTCATGGAATGATAAGTTGACTACGGCGCATTCCATTCTTGGATTCAAACCGTTCGCGCAATTACCCATGAATTCCTCTTCCAATTGTTGGCAATTTGCTTGGGCCGAGTTCTTGCGAAATACTTCTCTTACGGTCATGAAGCGTACTCCAGTACACCTCTCGGTAAGGTTGGGAAATACTACGTTACTATGGAGTTACTCGTCTTATCCTCGACCCCACAAGATGACGGAAGGCCAGCAAATTATATGGAATGCAGATTTTAATTTGGTGAAGGAGGAAGTTATGTCCGTGAACTGGGATTGTTTGCTCGAGAGGAGCCGAAGGACTACTGGCGGTCTTTTAAGACAATTTGGCCAGATCGAATTCGGCGAAATTATCCGGCGAAGGTACAAAAACGAACGGTCGTTTTGTCGACTTTGTAAGAGGCATTGATATTCAGTTAAGAAATGAAAAAATTGAAGACATTCAGGAAAACTGGGTCACTAGAACACCGCGGGAAGTTTCATTGCCAGCGGAAAACAGTCAAAATGGATCCGTCATGCAAGAAAACTATAAATACAGTATTATCCTGCAAGCTGAACTCGAGCCAAAAATTGTATTCCATTAAATTAGCGATCGACTGAAAAACAGGGACAAATCGCAGTACTTAAGGATGGTAACAACGTACAAGTCGTTGAAAACGCAAGGAAGTTGAGCAAATGAGCTGGTTCTTTGCCACAGTATTCACTAGGCAACCGGGGTTTCAGGATCACGTGTTGAGCAATCGTATTACAATCACAGGTCCCGTGCTTAAACCTACACTCTTCTCGACATCTACCGTAGAAAGAAAGATGTAGGATCTGAAAGAAGCAGCCGTCGGGTCCGGAAAAATATACCGAACTAGTTTTCAGAAGAATTGTGAACTGATCGTCCAAACCACCAGCTCATATTTTCCCTTCGCCATTTAAATAAGGGAGACGGCCATCTGAATAGAAAACAGCGATTATGTACCCGATATACGATGGTGGGACTTCAACTTATATCAGCAGTCATTGGCCCCTCAATCTTACCTCCATTTGCCGTAAGATTATGGAAATTATGCTTAAGAAGGCGACAGTGAAGTTCATGGAGGGGGACTACATGCTCTCAGCGCACCAGCATGACCTCGACCAACTCGACAACTGGTCTGCGCGCTGGATGCGGCAATTTAGCGTTTGTAATTGCGTGGTCGAAGGACTCCGTCCCAGAAAGACTAATCCGTAGGATGATTCCTCCCGATGCCTCTTTGATGGGCAACCCCTTTGGAATGTCAAAGAGCAAAAGGACCCAGTCGTCCTGCTGACCTCTCGCCTATACCAACGTTGCAATGTCTAAAGGCAGCTAAACGCGCTACACAGGTGTTAGTTGCGCTGAGAGGGGGACTTGTGAAAATTGATAAGGACTGTTAAGAAAAATCTGCGAGACATTCGTTCGATTTCACTTGGAGCATGCCGCTCAGGTCTGGCGCTCGTGACTTAAGGAGGACTGTCGACTCCTGGAACGAGTACGAACGAGGGCTACGAAGATGATCAAGAACCTGAGTTGCGTGCCTTACGAAGTCAGACGGGCCTAACCTAATTTACTTTCTTTTATTTGCAAACAACCACGTGGTGACCTCTTTCGTGCCAACCGGGTACAGAAGTCGTTGGTGTACCCTAGAAATTGATGGCTTTTTTGAACTAGCTAAGGCGGAATGGTTGCATGGTTGTGACTTTAAACCGCAGTGGAAAACGGTCTCAACAGACGTCCGACAGAAAGCGTGCTCGCAGAGGCTCGTTGGAGCATGGAACAGACTCCGTGATAAAGATTGTCTTCTGAAAAGCAGTTACTTAAGGCCATCCTCGTAAAATGCATTGTGACCTGCGCTCCTTCCATACTGAGTCGCAGTGAACAGCAACAGCCACTTTTTCAACTGTTCTGCATGATATCTTGAGCATATTCTAAATGCTTGTAGTTATATACGGAAAGTAAATCTAGAAAATTAATGTATATTAACAGACTCGCCATGCGCTCTGCATGAAACACTTCAAATATATACACGCACTTCTTGCCGATTTATCAGGTGTGGATTTTCCATGGAAGGGGACGATGCCACCCACTCTGCCGCAGGTCCCCAGCCCCGGATCGGCAATAGCGTGATTTTTTTCCAATAGCATTTTAGTTTTCATCATACTTCTGACGAATAACCTCGAATCTGTACCCCGCCGAAGATGAGCCAAGGTATTAAACAGATTACGGTATCAGATCTTCATATAGCTAACTCGAATTCTGCAACACTGACACGCATTGATTGAACCTGAATCGAAAGTAATGGCTGTGATTTGGTTTATCCCAACTAATTCTGTGCCTTTTCGTTTCCTGCGCCATTTTTCTATGTCTCCCTACTCGTCACAACATATGTTTAGTTCATATTACTGGCGCAATCGGACAAGTTACTTCAGATTGATATACTGCCGCCCTGCAATGATCCATCTAGTCCCGTGTTTCTGTTACACGTCCTAGCACTTTTAGTAAAACAGACTCGCGGATTCTTGTAGAGGGATCAATATTTTTTCTTAATCAGGTAGTTTCCTCTCCAACTCTTGAATACGGAAGTTTTTGCATGCGTCGGGCAAATGCCGTCAGCATTCCCTAATTTCAGGCCCGGTGACCATGATTTAAACAGGCTGAAATTCAGGCGGACAAGACAAGTGCCGACTTGGGTATCGTAGTGTGGGCTCTGGCCACTTTCTTTGCCGGGTTAGAACTTCACCAATAGAGTGTACGATGCAAAACTTCCACACCTTACCATATTTTGTAACTAAATTCCTATTTTCCGTAATGGCGAGACGGGTATAGATTTCGAATTTGGCGTGCAACCTACAGGTTGCACGGACCACGTTCGTAGACGATATTCGCGTTGTGGCCGACAAAACGTATGGAGTAATAAGAGATTTTGCCGTTAAGATTTTCTCGGCGTCAGTAAGTAGGGAAAATGGTTGCCATTCCCTGTCGGCAGATTGTAAATGCGGTTTTCGTGATAACATTGGGAAACCCGCTGTCTAGCCCTGCGCTAGCAGTACCGATTTGCCGGCTTGTGTGCATCTAGTGATCTGATTAACTGACAGAGCACAACTGGTGCCAATCACGCGAAGGGACTGCTGGCCGCATTGTGCCCTTAGGGACTACTGACAAGTCAGTCAATCACAAATCCAGTCGCAGACTAACCTTAAGGGCTGGCCCAAGACGACTGTTATGCTATCGATGTTCAGCGTTTGTGGACACTAATCAGGTCTTCCAGAATTGAAACGTGGTCTATAATCTGGCACGAAATTGTTGATATTTGCAAATGTAAGGTAGGTAATCGAAACCTCATTTGGAAGGTCGTTTACGAGAACGCGAAACAGCACCGATCCTTGTGAACGCCGCCATGAATTGGCAGCTCACTCGAAGGGGTGTCTACCGCACACTCAAAATCTTGTTTGGGGTACACTCATACGATTAGTTGTCTTTCCGGTTGAGCCACAGTCGTCAGGCCTTTCTTTGAGCAATCAGTGGTTGATTGCGTTAAATACCTGGTAGTTTTGACGGACGACCTGGACATGTTCACCGCTGTCTAGCATTCACTGCCTTAGTAAACCATGACCAGTGCCCATGGTGAATTCGTTTCAAAATTTTACACTGCACTGACGAAACTAACCAGGCGGTGTTTCCCCTAGATCCTATTATAGGTAGGGGGGGGGGGGGGGGGCTGACTGATGTCTGTCACCAGTCATCCAGGATGCCAACTGTTATGAGGATAACATGGGACAGGAGCTCTGGCCATAGCCCCGTAAAATTCGTGACTTCTCTGGTAAAAAATGTCAATGACTCGTCTCTGTGGAAGTATTTCAAATTTCTGCTTTCATCTTTGATGGACCAAACATTTGTCCTAAACGGGCCTGGTTACTTTTTAAGCGCATTTTACTCTTCCATATATCCGAACATAAACTGGTAGAACAGTTGGGTTGTCTGGCTCTAAAGCATGGTCAAAGTGCTGGTATTCAAAAGGGGATTTTTTTCTGTCTTTTCCTGTAACAGGCGAAGTGCCCGGTGCGTCGGGCCGATTCATATTCATCTGACCTTCCAAGGTACACTGTGAAACCACTTTTTTCCAATTGTGTAAAACAATATTCACGTTCTTCTTTTGGTTTCCTCCACAATAATCAGTTGCAATTCGATTGACAAAGTACTCTTATGAGCACTATTCGACACTCCAAATTTCTGATAAAATCATGCAGATCTTCATTGACACCCTACTTCCGCGAAACCCGTCCTTGCTTGAAAGCAATCCATTTAGGTTCACGTCTTTGCACTACCCTACTATACGAGCGCCCCCTTATCGATCTAATCGCTTAGTTGGAATCTCTCCAATTTGCCCATGAAGCCATCGGCTAGGAGAGGTCCGAGGGGTGAGCCCATAGCAACGTCAGCTACTTGTCTATAGAGTTGGTTGTCGAACAGTAACTGCACTTTTAACGTGCATCTTAGTAATAGTTACTTGAGTGTCTTCATCGGAATTCCTATTTCCTGCCGATTGGTTGATATAAATTCGGGTTGGGGGGGGGGGTAATAGCAGTCAGCGTCAGGGGCGGGGTGAGAGCGGAAGGGCGTAGAGAGTTGCGGCGTTAGTCCACCACCCCTTCCCTCACATTCGCACACCCCGCCTGTGTTTTAAGACGAACTTTTATTGATTTCCCTTATCGCTGACCTGTTTTACTTCTAACCCGTTCCCATATTACTGTACTGGCCTGACGGCTCGAAAGCTACGTATGCTCGTCACCTCGTCTTCGAATGATTTTCACTTGCGAATCACACTTAAGTTATACGTGCGTCATGAATGTTCCCGTAGATATTACCTTTAGTACGTACGCATCTCAAAAGGTGATAATCTTGTAAGAGTAGGTGAGCTTGGATTTGGTCATTGTTGCAATTTACTCACGAAATTCATAGTTTTAATTTGACCCTGTAAAACGCCTAAATCAGGGCTCCCATTTTTTCTAGGACCATTATGGATCATAACTAGAAAGTCTGTTCGAAATGCCGCCTACCTGAAGATGAGGTCACAACGGCTTTACGTAAGTTATCACGTGCGGATTCGGAATTGCAATTCTTTCCCCTTATATTTAGGTCGAAGGGTTCGTCGCGGCCGTCCTCCTAATTTGTCTTTTTCCCGGCATTCGCTCAGAAGCAGTTCTCCAAATCGGAGCCTGTATTATGATGGCCACTTCCGCCGAAGTCCTGCTTGTCCGTTCTGGAGGCGAACTCCCCATGCGGCTGACTCGTCCGGATGTGGCTCCTGGTTGTTGGCTTATCTTTCTTGTTCCCCTCCTACTTGCATATCAGAGTGATACGTCCAGTGCAAAGAATCTCTCCTACGCCTCCCTCATAGCCTTCGGTGTCCACATATTTGCCCTCAAATCAGTACGCGAGACCACCAACATTATTGCTATGCTCGTGTGCTGTTTTCCATTTGGAGAACTGAACTGGTCCTGCGCTGTAGTAGCTCTCTTCATCTACCTCCTGTCGCTCGAGCTGCTACAGGCCTTTCCCCACTCCTTTACCGTTGGCGAATCAATACTCTTTGGACAGCTCAGCCTCGCCTTCATGGTATCCCTGCGAGGTTTCTTTCCGGTCTTCATAGTCGCCTACCTGGTGGAGCACTACAGAGTGGGCTTTGATGTTTTGTCGGTGGGAGGAGCTTGTTTGCTGACGGTTTTACTCTGGCCTGCACTTCTTGCTTTCGCCAACTCTTTCTCTGCGGAGGTTGGCTGCCTGGACCTTCTGTGGCCTCTCAGTCTGGTATCTTGGGATAACATTCTGCTGGTCCTTTTGTGGATTCCCATGTGTCTGATGGCGGTAACTGTTGTGCTGCTTTATTCCTGGCAAAACAAACTGCCGTCACCACGTGTTGAGGTGTCTGAGCCGCCTGCTGAGTGCAACGAGAGTTCGTCTAAAGACCAGAACGAAATTTCAAGCGCAGTCGATGCAAAGCGTCCAAAAACGCCATTTTTTATCCGCAAACTCTTTCATCTTCTAGCCGGCTTTGTCTTCTTCACAGGACTGCTCATCTCACCCGTGTTTCTGTCGTTTGCTTCTGCCTGTGTGCTCGTAGTGTTTCTTCTGGTGGAATGGGCTCGTCGCCGAGGCGTAAGTCCATCTTTTTGTCTTTGACAATCTTGTGTGCAATCAAGTCGACGAAAAGTCAGAATTGATTGTCAGAGCCAGTGGCTGGGCTAAAGAGCTCGGTTAGGGGAGAGCAGTATTGATCCCTTCAGCAGCACTCCGAGATAAAGCGACCAAAGAGAACTGTGACGAAAACTAGGAATTTAGTCACGACGACTGACATCACAGCGGTTTTTGTACCTTGCCCTGTTTACATAAGAGTCGGCATGACAACAGCTCCTCTCTTCCTTCTGGTTAGGAGGCTGATTAATTTACTCAGTCAGGCAGCAAGCTCATGCACATGGAGTCAGTCAACCCTTGTTAGTTGCCCTGTTATCCAGTTTCTGGTCCCCAAAACCGGGGTGTAAAGTCGGATTAACTGACAGCTGGCGTTAATCAAGCTGCTCTGAGTCCCCGAGACCCCTCTATTTCTGCCGTAGGTACGAATGGCGGCACGCCTTAGGTGTAGACCTTCACGCCGCATCAGTTACTGTGTCCAATCCCTTAGCCCCTTTGGCTAACAGGCTCGGACAGTCGACTGGTGCATGAGAGGGGGGAACAGAACCCATCTCCGCGGTAAGTCAGCGCATTCCTCACAGTAAGAAGTCCGGTGCGCCCAAATCTATCACTACGAGATAAGAGTCGGGAAGGTTGCCAGCTGTTGTGATAACTCTGTTCTTCTCAGCACTGAGAGTCTGACTGTAATGACTCCTTCCAAACGTGACCTTTACGACTCTCACTGATGTGAAATCAGAGTCGCCCGATACGGAAGCTCAGATTGTGCGTGGCAAGCTGTTTGGCATCGTCAATCCCTGCGCCCGCACCTACTTTCGGTCGTCTTGACAGTGTCCTGTCATCGGAGTAGGGTGTCTGAGGGAGGAGGGAGTGCGATAGATGCTGCGCGAGTCTGCTTGAATACAAACTAATCCACGTACAAGTCACCCGTGGAGCACACGTCAGATGCTGTCGATTTCCACGGCCAAACTGTCATTATGTCGTTATCTACTTCTATCATACCATTAAGGACCTATAAAGTTGACTGGTGACACACAGTTGACACGATTACTCAGGTATCCTTGTTGTAGACAGCTACTATGGGTGGGATTCGAAGCCTACTGGGTCCAGTGGTTGGCCAGTGTTTCTTCCACCGGAGCGCCCTTTTCAGAAATGATGCCATCATCGCACCTTTGTTAGGTAGTATCTTTGAAGGAGGTGGATGGCCGAACTGGACCATTCTAAGCGTCTTATACAACTCTCTGGTGTCACCGCTAACCGAAACCTGTGTGAGACTTGGAACCTCTTTACTACAGACTTCATGGCTCAAGTGTCCTCCCTTTTGGGGGCTCCAATGGCTTCCTCTTTTGACATTATCAGCCAGTCGGCTCGTTAACCACCGGAGTGTATTAATTTCATTCTTCTATACAGTGCGTGACCGATTTCATGAAGTGTTGGCTGAAATTCTGAAATGCGTTTTCGACTAGGAAGGATTACTTAGGTGGGATTGTAATACTGGTTATCTAGAGACATAATCCTATAATATTTCGGACTTGCCAGGATGTCGGCTTTTGAATGCACTTCTTTTCGATCTCCTGCAGAGACCCTACATGGTAAAAAATGACTACTTAAGTAGCACGCGTTTTTCACATTGATTTTCGATGGTTTTATAATCTCAAGCATATTTTATAGACAACATGGACAAAATATGCTTTATTTTACTCGTTTGGTAGAAAATCACATTATCTTTGCAATTTTGTACTCGAAGAAAGCGTTATTTAGGTTTTGAAAAAAATTTTTCAATCCCCGAATAATTTTGAGCCAGATCAGCCGTTGCGTTAGCGTTTAGCGATCCCAGTCTACAAGGTACATGCTATCCGTGTAAGAAAAATCATATATTCCTTTATGCCTTTAAGAAGATACCATGTGAAGTTTACTAAGATTTTTTAAATGGCTGCTGACTATGTTGTACGTTTCATGGGGAGCACTGGTAAACGGGCATATGCGATGCTGTATGTATGGACATCACACGGTCTTAAAAATTTTGTAATTAGAAACTTTTTTAAAACCGAAACATAACATTTCTTTGAGTATGAAATGTGAAGATAGTGATTTTCTGCCAAACGAGTAAAAGAAAGCATATGTTGTGCATGTATATAAAATAAAAAATAAAAATATTGGTCTCCCCACCTTTCCAAACTGGACACAGAGGTCCCCTTTAACATAAATTTGGCAGGTTTCGAATTAGAAACACGGCAAGACACGTGGGTGGGAATCCCTCGTATGGCGCGAGCTTTGCACCAATCTCTAAGGAGATTATGGTTAGTGTTGGGATTAGGGTTGGCCCCGTTTTACGATTATAAATGCTTAACAGAGTGGCTATATAAGTGCGAAATATTGCTCTCTTTCTAAATTACTCAAGTAATCTTTTAGAATGGAATTGTGCTAGCAGCAACTACACCGCACAAAAAGCATCTTGAAAAAATTAGAATGACCGCTTGGCGCTTGGGATTTTCGCGGATAAAAGGAACTGCGGATACGTTTAGACAGGACTGTCCTTAGGCGTTATGTTTGCTTCGTACGGCCTGAACTCACCGATTTAAAATCAGTAAAGCGTCTCCTTTTTTTAAAAAAATGACCTGCCTGTTTACATTCTGTTTTGCCTGACTTCTGCGGACTAAAATTATTAAAGAAAACGCATGAACAGATCCGCAAACGTAGTCCAGGACAGCTGTTAACATGTGAGATTGTCCGATTACAAGGTAATGTTGATTTCCGTTCAAATTTCTAATCATTTTTCCGGTAGAGCGCGGGAGTATGGACCTTCCCTTCTATTCCAGGTGATCTTGTGCTAAATTCCAAGGGGTTAGGTCTAGGAGCTTTGAAGTTAGGTTTGGTCTTAAAGTTGGGACACAGGGGTAGGTGTCCCCTGGAATTAGGCGCGATGCGGCCCGTAGTACGAGGGAAGGTCCATACTCCCTCGTCCGGCTCGCTTCCCCTGATAAAAATGTACCTAGAAACATTCTGCGTGACCAAAGGACATGTTCCGAAACAGGTTAGGCGAATACACAAACTGCGCAACGTTATAAACGTCCTAGCAGGATCATCCAGATCCAAATCTTCACGTTTCATGAGTTACGCCACCTACCCGGGTGAGCGACAGCGACCTGTGGAGAATTCGGACATTAATGATGGGTAACTCCCCTACCCCAGTGATAGAATAATGTTACGGCGACTGGAAATTAGTCCGGATCGAAAGTGACCTAGAATAAGTCCCGTCCCAATACACGGCTGGTTTCTTCCGTGATCGAACCAGGCCTTGCATCTACCAACTGATATTGGAGGTGTACGCCGACTGTCCTCCTTCGATCACACCCCCTTCCCTTCCCCCCATTCGCAGTCAAAGCGATTGTAAGGATATGGCCCGTAGGCTCAGCACGGTTTCTTGCAGCCACACACTACTGCTGGGCACCGGGTAGCGTCAAAATGGAACGGCTATCGTCCGCAGCCAGATGACACCCTTTCTGGCCGCCCGATGGGTCTCTGTCCTTAGCACCAGTGGAGTCCGTGTAATTTTGGACCACACCATGCGCCGTCTACAGCCACGTTGCTGTTGTCGTTTCTGACTGCCAGCTATGCCTTTAGAAGTTGGTTCTGATACGATCTTCCTTTTTTTCTCTAGCGGCAGCCCATCTCTCGCACTCTTAACAACGCCCTCGGGCCGTTCCGCGACTCAAGGGATCAGGGTGAAATTATTTTCACCCCCATAGCCCTTCTTTTAGGTCTCAGTTTGCCCGTATGGGGCATCGGACTCAGTCCTGCACACTCACATTCTCTAGGTTAGTTTCTTTCCTACTCAGTCGTGTGATCCGCATTCTCTTCCCTCCGTCTCTCCCGCCGCACGCCCTCCTCTCTCTCTCTCTCTCTTACATTCTTCTAAATGCATTTCTATGTCTGTTTCTTTCTGAACCTTGTTTTTCGCTTCCTGCCATTGCCCACTCCTCGTCACTCAAGACACGCGTTCCACAGAACCACCCGGCTTGGGTCCAGCCATGGCCGTTGCCCTCAAGTTCCGTCCCTCCGCATGGTCTGGTGTGATTACGATTGCCCTGGGGGACAGCGTTGCCGCCCTTGTTGGACGGCAGTGGGGTGGCCGTCTGAAGTGGCCGGGCAGCCATCGCACCTTCCTTGGCTCATTCGCCTCACTACTATCTCAGGTTGGTGTCTAATGCATACACCTTCATTCTGTGTTTCTCACTTCAACACACCCCGGCGGAGCCCTATCGGGTTTGCATAAGTATTTGGGCTTAGGAAACCAACTAGTTGATCATTGAAAGTTGGGAGTACATTCTCCGCCGCCCATACTGCCAATCCACAAGAACATTAAATATAGGCAGGACCTCACATGATCCAGTATGATGCAGTGTCTGATGGAGATTACAGCCGACAGACATCGGTGCTAGTTTCTGCTAACAACGCTTAGCAGCCTGCAGTGAGTGACAAACCGGAGTTAAAGAGCAAGCATAAGTGTTTATCCTTAGTCTTGCATCCGGACCAGGTTGATGAATGCCATGGAGGGCGTTATGTAAGAAGAGGGCAGAAGTAGTAGGGATCAATTCGACCGACTGGACGCCAATAAGACGGGGAAGGCGCTGCCTTGAAGATTATTAATGATGTATATCAAGCTACCTAAATTAAATAAGTAGACACTCTGTGGTAATATAGTTCAGGGAACTTGTCCTCATGTCCTACCACAGCTTCTACCGACAGCATGTGGCTGCCTGCAGTGGGCTGCAAGCCGGAACCAGAGGGAAAATGTCTGTCATTCGTCTTGTTCCCGGGCCAGATCTGTGAACCCCCTTCCACGTGAATTGTCGCGGACGTAAACTGCACTACGTGATCACCTGCCTCATCTTTTAAGTGGATGTGTGTAGCCAGATCGTTATACACACTCTTGCAGAACTTCTAACCATCTGTCACACCAGGCCGCTAGAACAGAGCTACCTAGTTGTACGTGCCTGATCTAGAGTGCCCCATCACGTCCAAAACTTTGCCGCTGTAGATGCATGCCGCACATTCTCTTCTACAGCTGAGAAGACGGAGTGCCGCAGGTCCAGGCAGGAGAGACATTTGAATTGCAGCTTACGCTATTCGCCCAGTCCAACTAGTGGCGCGGCCCATCTTACGCCGTCGGGAGGTCGGTGTATCGATTAATGGAAGTCTATGTGCACTAGAATCAGGCTGTGGACTTGCTTTTTCAGCTTTTTTCTCGTATGGCTTACGCTTCTGGCGACAAAATTTCCCTTTTAGCTCATGCTATGGGCTCTCCTGGTGTACCTCGAGGAATGGCCATGGCGTCAGGGCGTTGTGCCCCTGGTGGTGGGTGTCTTGGCGGAGGCTTACACAGAGCAGATCGACAATTTGGCTGTTCCACTCCTCGTGATGACTCTTTTCTCCGCCGAAGAGGCACGACTCGCGTACCGGTAACTCACCCTTGGCCACCCCCGCCCTCCCCCTCCTCCGGACGCATTGGTTGTCTGAAAGACCTGCTGCTCAACCTGTGCGTTGGCCGCGCGCAGACCCGTTCATCTCAAATACTCACCTGCCTTTTGTTCACTGCGGTGACCGCCGTCTTTTACGGCGAGACTCGCGCACACCCGGATCTTTCACCTATTTTTCTCCCCCTTGTGCCTCGAGTTTTCTTCTTCCCTTCTTTTTTATCTCGCTACAGGCTGAGTTGTTGGAACTTTTCTATGATCTGGATAGTTCACTTGTAATAATTATGCGAAAACCAACTGCCGGCTTTCTGTCGTGGTCGTTTTGTTTGTTGCCCACATCTGTGCCCTAAACGTGGGTTGCATTGGACACACGACGACATACGACAGTTCGGCAGTGACGGACTACGATATCTATCGTGTGCCCCACTGGAGGGTGAGCGCAGGATTAGCTTATAGTGTTGATAGACTTGCGCGGCACCTAACGTACTCTCCCCCCGCCCATCAAGGCCCCGGTTCAATACGGAGTCAAAAAGGCCGGAGGTGAGGCCGGGCGTAGGTGGCTCGTGCGGCATGAACCTGCACCTAGGCGTGTCACCACTGCCATGTGTGACATTTGTTGCGGCTGTGGGTCCCCAATTGTGCCCATCAAACGGGCCACGTCTTAGATGCGCTGGACCAACACGGGGGCCACATCGGATTCTGGCAGGCGTTATCTCTGCGCGGTAACAAATGCCAACATCTAGGGGGTGCGCTGGCAGACCCTGTTGTCGGCCGTCGTCGCACAAACTGAGAACACTGCCACGCCCTCCACTGTTTGGCGGTTAAAAACCAGGCCCTTTGTTGAGAGGACCAGGGGGTGCGGAGTGGAGCGCCAAGGCGAGGATCCGTCCAAGCCGTCCGCCTGCGGCCTCCCTCGTCTCCGGTCTTCTTGACTCTGTCTTGACACCGGGCTCAGGCGGGGGAGGAACGTCAACCACCTTGTGAATCCCGTTGACTAACAGTCAGAAGTGGCCTGAAGATTTGTGGTGTTCCTTCAGGCCTAAGACGTGGCCAGTCTCTCTTTAGTGGATGATTGTCCGTTTACAGTGTGGTTCGCTCGTTGAGATAACGGCATGTATATGGCACATGAGAGACGCCGGCGAAATACGTGGTAAAACACTGCTCTGGAACTCACCTCAAGTCGAATTGACTCAGTTGTGCCATTGGTACATTTTCGGGAGCTAAGGAAAGTGATGTCAATCGGCTCGACGCATTCAATCCAAACTTAATTGACCACACATTTTAAGAATCTTGAGGGATAAGTTTATCCAGGTGGTGGGGACGACAGACTGCGATGGTTCCTTCCCGAGTCAGCTTTGCTTACAGATCTTGGGGATATGATGCTCGAATGTGCCGTTCCGGTCCGTGACACTTGAAGCCCAGCGGGTGTGTTTGTGTGTTACGTGTAAAATCAGGACGGATTCCTGCCCGGCCCCTGCGCATGATCTCACTCACAGGCAATTTCACAAAGTCCCGCTCCGGAAACCAGATGGGTGCGGGAAGGAGGAGTAGGGAGCATGTTCGAGTCGTCTATACTGCAATCCAAGTCATGCAAAGGAACCACCGGATCGTACTGAAGGAAGTCGCAGCATCCAACACGAAGACCTCAACGCCTCGGGCCTGCCTTCTGCCATCCATAATTGGCCCGACTGCTTTTTATAGAATCGGCAAGGGGTGGAGTCTCTGAAGCGGACTGCTTGTGGGAATCGTATTCCGAAAATCTCAGTCATCCGCCTACCGGCCAAACTCGTGCTTGCATTGCGTGGTGACAACTCCGTGATACTTGCGCGGATTATTGATTTCTGAGCGCTATGCAAAAGCCGACGATTGCTCTGAACTGGGGCTCCAAGGCAAGATGGGTCGCCAGTGTTCCGTCTGATAATCCAGCCATCTTTGTGAAATTTGCTCCCCACGTAATTTTAATTACCTTGCTGCCCCTCTATTACTGTGGAATTTAACTGGTTAAAGGTTTGTGAATGTTTTCAAAGCTTACATAATAATCAGTTCAGTAATTTTAGTCAGGGCAGACCGAGAAGGAGCGAACTCACGGGCCTGCGGGTAATTTGATAAATTCTTTCAGTGGTTAGAGGCGCTTACCGATCGTTCGTACGGAACTCACTCGTTCCGTTGTGCCTTCGGGGCTCTCTCTCGAGCCCAACCAGTAGCCGCACGGCGGCGCATGATATAGGCAGTATTTTATTACCGACAAAGACAAGTGAGACTGGAATGGCCATTGCTTGCTTATTAGCCGTTGCCAGCCAGTCATACCCAACCCCGAAATATGGAACACTCGAGGTTCGAACTTGCGACCTGTCAGTTAGAACTCCACGCCTCTAACCAGTGGGCCACGTGCCCGTTGCCCTGCCGGTTTTCGATCGGGAATATAAAATGGTAGGGGGCGCTCACCGATCGTTCTTACGAAACTCACTCGTTCCGTTGGGCTCTCTCTCGAGCCCAACCAGCTCCAGTAGTGCATTTATTTGCAAAAACGCATTTAGCTGTGCAAGGCCTCCTCGGCCCTACGTTGTGGTGGATCAGAAGTATCATCGTAAGTCAGTATTTTGTTACGGGGGACGCTGTAATTATTTAAGGTGCACATCCAGTTATTTTACCGAAGGACAAACCGGTCATCGATGACAAGGAAGGACTTTTTTCTGCCAGCCTGCAATAATGCAACTTCGCTCACGATGTTTAAGTCAGCCTCATCCGGCCGGCCCGGTGCGTACGAGGCTTTCGAATTCCTCGTACAAACGACAATCTTGATGTCAGTAGTCGAGGTGATGGACCAAAGGCACAACTGGACGATTGAGTTCCGTGTCGCGATCGACGAACACCCATCTACCATTGTATATACCCGATCGCAACCCGACAGGGCAAGGAGCCCGTGGCTCAGTGGTTAGGGCGTTGGACCAACAGGTCTCGAGTTCGAGCCCCAGGGGGTCACACGCACACACCTCGGGGTCGGGCATAGCTGGCTGACGACGGCCAATAGGCCAGAAATGGCCATTCCAGTCTCCCATTGTCGGTAATACTATTCTGCCTATTTATTATATACATATACTGGATTGAAAAGCAGGCATCCGAGGAAATATAATTTGAGGTCAAATAAGTTCTTCGAGACAAGTAGTAAACCTTGATGGGCACATTTTGTACGCTGGTCCAATAGGTCGATGTTAGACGTTAAGTAAAGGTGTTAATTACAGAATGGCTATCCTACTGACTTCGTACGTCGATGCATGGAACAGTAAGATTAAAAAGGAAAGGAATAATATAGTTTCAATTATGACCCCAAAGCGAATGCTTGGCGGATCCTTCCGTACACTTAGAACGTCCCTGAACTCGCTGGAAGACGCTTGGGGAAACACTAAATACAAGTAGCGCCTAAACTGACGACTGCTTCACGCTTCCAGCTTGCACACCCTAAGGATAGGATTGGCTGTCTTGTATATAGTGTATTTTAGTGTAATAGGCAATGCCCTTGATGACCCTATTGAAAACGGTACATGCAATGTAAATGTTACTAAACTTTGTCAGTAACATATTAGTTTACGGAACACGTTTTTACGGGGCGGGGCTGCGAAAGGGCGGCAGGCAGTCTTTTCAATGTACATATGAAATTTTAAGTGCAATCATATACAATCAGCATAAGGTGCAGTCATTTGCGTAGTTTGGCAGGGAAAATTTCATTAAACGTCAGGGGTGTGTTACATAGGGATGAAATTAAGAAATGAAGTTTATGACTGGGCGCACATCCTCCGTACATTGGGGCCATACCGAAAACCTACCTCTACTCCCATTCACATGCATACGCTAGCAGTTAAGAGGCGCGATCATTTCTCGCAAGTGGTCATGCATACCCCAAACTTGCGTAGCATCTGCCGCACCCCCTCCCCCCGGCCCCTGGGCCCGGTGGTAGTTTAGAGTCAGGTCGACCGGAAGCGGATTCAGGCGCAGTCGTTTGCAAAGCGGAGCAATCAGACGTCCTGAATTATGCGACTAGTGCATACAGTGTCATCACACTGGCATCCAGGGGCTGGACAGCTGATCATTTGAAAGGAAAGGCGGGTGATTTACAGGCAGAAAATGACCGCTGCATCGTACAGACTCTTCACAGTCTGCGTTTTGACTACTTTCCAGCTAGTCTGAGGCATATACGAGGAGACTTATGAAATACTTTCTTTCGGGAACGCAGAGCTGATTTCTCTAGCCCTCTTTAGTCAGAAAATGATGGGAGATTGCTGCAAAAAGTTCGGTAGGGGGCGGTCTTAATTGAACTTCTGGACTCCCGCGGATGCTCTAGTCATTTTACTCTCAGGACTAAGGCCTTGTTGTCCAGCTGTAAGAATGCCCGTACCGTACGATTTAAAGCGTGGTCGGCAGGGTTGTTGAAAAAAGAAATACGGCAATCACAGCACGCAAAGCTCCAGGGGACGTTGACATTTTGGCGAGCGATCGGTTTTCTCCCCCTCTTTCGGGCGCTGTTTCCTGGGCGGTACTGGTGACCTGTAGTGGAGGAGGTATATCCGATGCCTTACATTCCTGCCTTCGCCTATGTAACTCGCACGTCGGAGGCCATATAATTAGGACCAGATCATCGTCTCAGCAAAGACTATATGCAGAACCTCCCTGCTTGGGCTGCCGTTACTGCCCAGCAGCCCATCTGGCTGGCTGACCAGTCACCCCTGTTGTCATTGCGTTCTTGCCTACTTTTATACCGTCGTCATTGTCGTAGTCGTCGAACCATTATCGTCAGCCTCGGCACTATCGGCACCACTATCATTAGCATTAGGAGCGGCATTCGATTTTTCCCCCAATTAATGATCTCTTAATCTACAGTCATACTCACTAACTGTGTGCAACGTTGTTGTGAAACACGCAATGTCGGAATAGCATAGACAGTACGTTACGGTAGATGGGATAACTCATGAAATGTCAACCGAAATTCCGAAT